TTAGCGAGTCGCACATGTTATCCCAAATGACAGGAAATTAGAATACCATGTTACGACAAACCAGCAATTTGGCCGATAAAATCAGGTGAAAAGCTGAAATATTTAGTAGTACATGTAAATGAAGTATAGTAGTCGCTCTATGCAGAGGGAATATATTTCATTTTCCACATAATATAAACAATGACAAGATAACTACAATAATACACGTAATGATATAACAGAAAATTATAGAGATATCTTTGACATTTTTTTTTAAAGTCTTAATTGTAATATGCGAAATTATTTAGTTACAGGAAATGAAAAACAAACCTACTTTGGAAGCAATGCTTGTTAGGTGTAGGTTCACACGGCTTTCCCGTGAAGAAGTGGTCTTTAAATGATTTATGATAGTTTGTTTGAAAAAGAAGAAAACAACACCTTTATACCTGAGGGAATACATGTAAGCCCCCCCCCCCCACGACAAAAAAAAATTGTTTAAAATGTCACAAATCTGATTTTTCAGAATGTCTTTCCGTTGTATATTAGATTGAATTACTTGACAGTAATGTAAACGGTTTAGAATGTTGCCGAAATTTAGGATGATTTGGGATAGAGTACGCTAATTCATATGTTTTTATTGATGTTTTCATGAAGTCACACACATATATACATAATATATATACATACAATATACAGATATTCATCCATTTGATGTTTACAACCAGAAGTCATTTAATGGATCATTCTTTCTCTGACCACCAGACAGTTGCAATAGGCAGTCGTCATGTTCTATTAACAAATTGTTTTATGCTACATTTATAATATGTCCCATAGTCTGGAAACGCAATTTTCGAAGAAAAAAAAATGCAAATAAATTAGATCACTGAAAAATGAAATATGAATGAAAATTAAAAAAAGAAAATAGGAAGTTAGCAGATGAGTGCATTTCTGAACGTTTAGTTACATTCGTTTCGCGCTCTCTCTCTCTCTCTCTCTCTCTCTCTCTCTCTCTGTCTGTCTGTCTGTCTCTGTCTGTCTCTCTCTCTCTCTCTTCTTTGCAGAATAATAAAGTAATACAAAATATAACGATGAGACCTCAATATATGTTTCTTCAATAAAGTGCTTTTCGTTTGTATTTCCCGTACAGACATTTTTCGTTTAGGCCTATTCACTTTTCATGACTGTCTCTCTATGAATGTAATGAGTGCGTATACCATCAATGACGAGCCAGAGAGACAGTGATCAAGCTTCCTGGATATATTATAAACCGAAATGTAATCACCATTCTGAAGAAAACGATTTACACCTCCACAAATACCACACTTAAACACAGACCCATCCACATTTCGCGTTCCATTTATCTCTATAACTGACAGTATTTTCCCCACAGCCGCATATCTATGTCCAGTTCTAATGTCTCAACAGAGCGCAACACGGAAACCGTCCATACCCAGTCGTATTTAAAGCAATATCATGACACACGTTTTGGTTGGCTACCTCCATTCAAACTGATAATCGAAGCAGTGTGAATGCTCGTCTGGGGGTGAGTCCCCAAAGGCGCTAGCTTGGAAACGGTTGAAATTGAAAAGGCAACGGACCTTTTAAAAAACTGGCGCTTGTTGCGAAGGAAAATGAATTGAATTCTTTTAAGCGTTGAAACCGAGGTGCTAGAATAATTTTAGACCAATGGAATTAACATTTACACATCGCTGATGTCGACTCGGTTAGAAAAAAAGGAGATCTACAGAATGATTGTCGCCGTTTTTAATATTTTGTAACCGTGTTAACGCGAACTGCAGACGTCAACAGAAGTTGAAGTTACAAAAAGATTAAAATAAACGAACATCTATGCTCGATTAATTCAAATGTCATGCAAGCATAATTATAAGTAGAACATAACATTCGTCAACTACATGCGTTTGACATAATTATTTTTTGTAATATCGACTTATCTACCATGCTACTCGAAACGATTATGGACAAATACATAAATATTATTGGGATGAAAAAGAGCAGACCACGCTGTTTACACGCGACAAGGTCACACATATTGTCTCAACTGTTGGTTCAATGTCATTCAGGTGAACTAAACATATACAATTATTTTTAGCACATTTAGCATGCTTAGATCCCATACATTTTCGCCATTTTATAAATACAAATGAGTAGAAATTGTTTAACAAAACTAATAATAATTAATTTACTTATACATTATATTTTATGTATCTCGCCTGAACTGTTAGAAAAATAATGTCATCTCTCTTTCCTCCCCCTCTCTCTGCCCCTCTCTCTTGCTATATATTTCTAAAATATCTCTCTCTCTCTCTTTCTTCTCTCTCTTTCTTCTCTTCCCCTCTCTCTCTCTCTCTCTCTCTCACTCTCTCTCTCTCTCTCTCTCTCTCTCTCTTTCTTTCATTCTCTCTATGACGCGTGTGGTCTATCTAACCACATCCCTCAACTTTTTTCTTCCTTGAGTAAAGCACCATAAAAGAAATTTAGATTACTTGTTAAACTGGACAAAAAGAGTAGTTAAGAAATACCATTAGGGTGCAATTGTGTTGGATAATAGTAATAATAGCATCATTGATGATAGTATACAGCGCTATAGCAGTACCCTGACCTTTCGATAGACTATCACACCATTACGTGGTGGACCGTTTAATTCTAATTACATCCCACATAAACCAGCTATAACGGTTAACCGTTACCATTTTTCTTTACAACTCTCCCCCCCTCCCCCCCCGTGAATTGTAATGGACCTTCTTTCCTTTAAAAAGGAGCGATTCTATTTCCTTGTGTTGGTTTTTCTACACCGCATAAGCCTCAGACGACAATACAAATCGTTTAAGTACAAGACAATCAAAACGGTTTGTATATGCCCTACTTTTTCGTTTTCTCTTCATAATCAACTCCCTTTCCTGCACGAAGTTGTATTTTATCTGTTTGGTCAACGATACAATATATAGGTTTGGCATGTTTGATAAGAGGGAAAGAGAAATAGAGAGAGAGAGAGAGAGAGAGAGAGAGAGGAAAGAGAGAGAGAGAGAGAAAGAGAGAGGGGGAGAGTGAGAGAGAGAGAGAGAGAGAGAGAGAGAGAGAGAGAGACAGGGGGAGGGAGGGGGATAGAATAGAGGAGGGGGGTGAGAATGGAGAGAGAATATAATGATATCAGAAAGACAGGCGCAGATGAGAGAAGGAGAAATGATCGGAAACATGTGGAAGAGATAGAAAAGGGAAGGGTGCGAGAAGGGACCAACGTATACAGTCAGAGACACGAAATGAAAAAACTAGGTCGCGGGGGGGGGGGGGGAGGAGGCGAGAGAGAGAGAGAGAGAGAGAGAGAGAGAGAGAGAGAGAGAGTGAGAGAGTTATATTATATATAGACATAAGAGAACGGGAGAGATATAGACAAAGATATAAATAGAGAGGAGGATAGATAGAGAGAGAGAGAGAGAAAGAGAGAGAGAGAGATTTCTTTATATAATTATGTGTCTAACGAATTGTGCTAGTATAAATGCTGTAAATATTTGCGACCGTTGTTATGCATTTCTGTATATTGTTGTGTACTGAAAATTCATCTTATCATGCATGGTGGCCATAAATAAACAAATACGAATAGGGAAAGGGAGGAGGAGGGGGAGAGAGAGAGAGAGAGAGAGAGAGAGTAAGAAGTGGAGATAGAGAGGGAAAAAAAGGGGTGTAGTGGATAAATAAAAAGAGACAGGGGTGCGTGTGTGTGCGTGTTGATATTGGATACGAGATAAGACTGCGTGCCACAGACAGTCCGATCTCGAAGAACACTAACTTACTAATGGAAAAACACAATTCTCATTATTTAAAACATGTTGTTCATTCTAATTTGAAAGCCTTTCTGAAATTGTCCGTATTTCCATTTTCTAAATGCGACGTAATCGAACAAAATGATGTAGTAATTGCAGCACCTCTTTTTTTTTTTGATAGCAGAAGGTTATTTAGAAAACGTAGCATGGGGTAAATTCGTAAACTATTCTGGAAGAGGGGAAGAGAAATTATCGAAATCTGATTCAAGTTCATGAGCTGATTATGATGCTGTCGATTGGAATTAGAGTCGCTTTTCCACAGTTTATCCATTTTCGATATTATTTCCCCGTCAGTTGCCCCTTTCACTTACACCGAATCAATCTGCCATTATGACATTAATTCGGATTAAGAACCTGTGAGAGTGTTTCTATTTGGGCCCCCATGCTGCTTTGAGGGGCAATTTAAAATTCATAATCATTTTTCGAGGCAATGATGACTTTCCAATCAAACAGGTCTATGTGAAGAGCTTTGTAAGACACCCATAATCCGTGAAAATCTGTCTGAGACCGGCTTTATTCCAACTTTCGGCCATATGTTTCGAATTGACGCAACGCAAGACGCGATAAATAGTTTGTAATATTTTGGAGTGAGAGGAGGAGGAGGAGGGTGACAGTGTGGGATGTTGCGATCTGCTCGGGTTTACGGGATATTTTTTCCTTACCTTTTAGCCAGGCATTGGATTCAACGGGTGGGGGAAGCGTCGAGGACGTCAGTCATCTCTGCGGGGCTTAAAACATATCATTTGCGAGAACGAAGGGCTTACAATCGCTCTCGTTTAATTCTAATTACAGTTATAATCCTGGATTGCGATCCCACTTCGTTTTACGCCTGCCTCGTCCTCTCAACCCTACGCTCGCCTCAGCTCCCCCGGCCGTACGCCTCGATCGCTCGGACAATAAACCAGTCAACAATAGCTACACCGACCATTCATCATTGGACGAGAGTGCCAGCGCCCCGCCCACGTCCTGCTCCGCCAACCAATCACAAGGCGAGGTTGAGCTCTTGCATATGCATGACCAGTAGCACTCGACCAATCGTATGTTGAGCTCGTCAAAAAGTAATCAGCTCTATGATTGATGCGGATGAGAGCTATCTTCGCAAGGGGCAATATGTCTCCCCTGTTTACACTATAGCATGGCTGCGTACACAATAGAGGAGTGGTAGATATATTTGAGAGGGACTAGACTCGACCATTTCGGGTGTTATCGTAAGGGGATTAATAAGAGAGGCAATGATTGGAGTGAATAGGTCTTTTTAGTATAACGATCCCCCTCTCTCATCGTTTGATACAGACCACCGACTCGTACAATCACCATTCGTGACACCTTAGCTGAGGTCACTCGCAACGAGCTGGACAAACTGGCCGCCCAGACCAAACCCTCATCTTTAAATCAATTCCTCCTCCTCTCTCTCTCTCATTAATTTCGAGAATTATCATTTGAACTATCATCGCTATCATCACCACACCCTGCATTCCCACTCGCAATGCTGGAACCCAACTAGTCTAAGTCTTTCGCGTCTGACAGCCTTCTCCGATTCTCTCATTCCAACCCGGCCTCTTCAAATATTGAAGCATTGATCATCTATAGAGTATCGTGATCGAAGCTCATAACGATGCGATCGTCTGTCTGGTGCAGTGTGTAATTGAATGCAACGCCCACTAATTCACGGATAAAGATTGGACGCGTGGAACACTTCCATAACATCGCCTTCAGCCACGGAAAGACCCGGCCGCCCTCCCTCCCCCACTCCCGTCACAACCGACTCTCAACAAACTATACTTGTCGTGTTTTCTCTCTCTCTCTCTCTGCGACAAGAACTGTTCATACCGTTCGTAAGCAGGGATTCTTTCGTGTCACACTGGAAACCACTGTGAACCTGAAAGCTTGCCAACAATTATCTGCCCTTTCACCATCTGTCAGGAGAAACAACGGATCGAATTTAAACGGTAAGTTAAGAAACATTTTACCACAAATTATAACATATTGCATCTCTAAATTATTAAAATTGATGTTTGTGAATAATTTTTGAAAGACATAATTTCGTCAGTTATATTGTTTGTTGACTTATTTTCTTGTCGATAAAAACAAATGATTCCTTTGATACATGTTCACAAAAACGAAGAGAATATCAGCCTTCAATGTTGACTTTATGACTTTCTGTTCTGATTGATATCATGTTTGATTTTATTTGGGCGAATACTGTTCTCTCAATAAATTATCAAAGAATATCTAATGATGTTGCAAACAAGCAATCTGTCATTCTTGCAAATCATCTTTTGTACCAGTGTATTAAATGACGCCGATGAGTTGCTTGTTGAAACCCAACTTCATTTTATTGTAATCTAGAGATTTTCTTTCTGTTTCTATATTTCGCCAGGTTTGGAGCCGATGTTACTCTGGAAAAGTATATAGCTTATCTTTAAGGTGTGATTTTGATCCTGTTTTGGTGATATCAGAAGCCAGTGTGCAACATCTATTTCTTGGTGAGGCAACAATAAATGCTACCTGACCAGATGGAATCGTCTGCGGAGTCGCCACTCCGGGAAAACTTGTCAACAACATCCCCGGGACTGAAACACACCGGGAATACAACAGTCAGTATGCCTGTAGCCAGCCCACAGCCTGTAGGCACCCATAACAACAACAGCAGCTCGACCCGGGACGAATGCTCACGTTGCAGCTCGCCGGCCTCGTCGCCGAACTCTTGCCCCGCCAGCCCGGCGCACAGCACCAGCGATGCCGGGTCGGTGTCGCCCTCCCCTACGGCTGCAGCAACGCATGTCGGTTTCTCGCCAGCCACCACCCACCACTTGCCACACAGGCAACACAAACACATCCACCACCATCATCATCACCTTAACATCAACAACAATAATAACAACACCATCAACCACATACGCGCGAAACATGACTCTGGGTCAGAACTGTTCATTGGTAAGGTCCTGGATTCGAATCCCGCTCACCAGCTCGGACTACCCCCTCATATTCGTCACCCTATGTTATCCCAGGGTAACCTACAGATTCCCTTACCGGTACGTAACCCGGTCGCCGCTCCGCCATCGTTCCTCATCCGGGATATCCTCGGAGATCTCAAAACGCGGGAAACTAACTCAAGAACTGACGCAGAAATTCGCGAATTCGACAGACGATCAGCATTCCACTTCAGGCACTCTGATCTATCGTTACAGCGAGCTGATAAAGACAATAAGGACATTGATGACGATGTCGATGACGATGACAGGCATAGTGAGACGACGTCGTTGAAACGATCACTGTCATCAGACGATCTTACAGATTCGAAATCGAAAGACAACGATTACGACAAAGGTAAGTCTATACCGACTTCATTAATATGCTCACCAATCTGTCTTTCAATCTGTCATTCAAAAGAACCTTCTAATCACAAAGCTCAACTGCTTATTTTCTTCAAGTTTATAACTTTTTGTAATCATTGAACAAAATCATAAACTAAAATCTTGTGTAGCATCCAGACTGTAAACTGTACTTCTATCACTTTCAATCCGCTGTCTACTCCGGTACCTTCAAAATTGAATTGAATAAGCATGCAGTTTTTGAAAGCGTTTGTAATGTATCTGTGACTGAATCACGTTTTCGTCTTTGTACAACCTTTAACGGCAAGACATGAAGACACATTCAAATCAGTGTTGTGTATGGTTGAACAAAATACCAATGACTTATTTTCGATTGCAACACTGTAAACTATGCATAATGGATACACAGCGCAAAGCGAAGCAGACCATTGCAAAACTAGATCTTCAGCCAGATTTAAAAAAAGCAACAACAAAACATGTTGACATTCATTTTATAAATGTTTTTTTCAAAATTAATTATGCGCTAACGATGTAAAGCTGTCAAAATAGATACCGCAACTTGGATATACCAGAAATCAAATTATTATCATTGAAGATGTGAAAAACGCCTACATGTTTACTATACCAACGGCTTAATAACTATACTTTAATGTATTAATTTTCGATACCACTAATAGAATAAGAATAATTACTCTTCTTTTTAAAAACAAAGAATATTTGGATCTCAAATTGTAAAGAAAGCGAGGGGTGGGAGAAGAAATATACTAATGTAAGTCTTGTTATACAAACTCCATTGTTATCCTGCATACAAATGAAAGCATAAAGGTGTCCATAACATTAAAGTAGGCAAGCGTTGACATGCAATCAAGAAAAAATGAAAAACAATAACCCTCCTCGTCAGCCTTCTATACATGACTAGTTACCTTTTCTACTTAACAAAAATATCCACTCCATAATTAAGCACAATAATCTTATTCAAATGCTGAGTAAAATCACCGTTAAAAAAGGTTATCCAGCATTCATATATCAAGATAATTGATCTTCTGACATGAATATTTCTCAAAGAATAATTCTCATCATTATAGACTAATGATAACCTAACTCTGGGCAAGCATACTTAAACATCGAAGTGAGAAAATTATCCAGCCCCCTTTACAGACACTCTCCAACTTTTGAGAGCTGATATGTTAACTCACAAACCCCAAGAGCGAGTTAATATCTTACACTATAAGGAAAGGAGTGAAGTGAGAGTAACGAGTTAAGTATACAGACATTGCACCGGGTGCAGCTCACTGGGCATGCATTTTGTAGTAGGCCTGTTTCGCCTGAACAGACCGGCCGCCCGTCTGCCGTGCCCCGAACCCGTAGCTACACAACACGCCCGGGTTCGTGTATACATCATTATACGCACTTATAATACGAATTTACGAATTGAATCTTGAATATGAAATATGTTTAACGACTACTGACGCTCAGTAAATGCTAGCGTTTTCATTACTCCCTCTCCTCACCGAAATATCCGAAAATACAGACTATGCATCTATTGCGTGTATTATGATAATGCAATGAACATTAATATTCACGTTATAGGTAGGCTGCGAGAGCTGCAAGTAAAATGAATATGCATCACATCCATGTTCCCAGTGCTCTGTTCTCTGCCATCATCTAGAAATATTTTCTTTACCTCATCGTCGGTACTTTGTCTCATTTTCTAAAGGGCATATATTAATAATTCCCTTTGAGATTAAAAAATAAATAAATAAATAAATAAATAAATAGCAGTATTACCCCCCCCCCCGCTTCCTTTTTAGTTTGCACTTTCCAAACTTCCAACAACAACAAAAAGTTCAAAAACTATTATATTCTTTTAAAAAATCTTTTAAAGTTTCCTCCGGCTCATTTCATTCAGAAGCCGTTTGCATTTAAACTGTTTATAATTATTATCATCATCCTGAATCTTATTCCTTAGTGCAAAAACTGAGTGTCTCTTACTATAACCTTTTGCATAACTGATTAGTTGTCGTTTACATGATACAAGATTAGGAATCAATAGAAAATTTCATGCAAGGAATTTATTTAAAAGTTATTTTGAGTTATTATGATTATTACATATTTATTAAGTCAATATACCCCATTTAAATGAAATAAATGGATAGTATTTATGATAATTATCCTAATAATTGGAGTACTGCGGAATACATATCGGTATGCTACTCTGTCATTTGATTGTAGTTTCCAATGAATTAATATCGCTTTTGTTTCTTAACGGCGTTGCCATCTGGCGTTCTATTTAGCGCGCAAAGATAACACATGAATAAAAGAGACAATTTTACAAGTACTAACTATATTTTGTTAACAGGGTACAATGTTATTATTCGGTGTTGACATTACTTGTAAATATTCGTTACAACAATTTTCGTGACAATTCGTAAAGAAATATTTTGTCCGCGATATTTTAAACATGCAATACAATAGATAAAATACAGTGGCGACAGGGGTGGATAGGATAATCACAATTGTCAGAAATAGCTGTAAACTATTCTCAATTATGTTTTGTCTAACCTCAAAACCACTCATAGCTTCCTTTTCTCTGAATGTCTGTCTTGCTTCTTGATTTTAGTTTTCCCATGAAAGACAAATTTTAAATGGTCGGGAGCAAATAATAAATGATAAGAGACGAATAGAAAATATGACAATTACACTAATGATACAACATAATCTTATTTAATACATTTTTTATTTTTTTATTTACCTGATATTTTTCTTCGTTCTTGAGAACTCAACGACAATCAGTATTGTTGCTTAAAGGTCAATTAATTGTCGAGTTTGATATTTCATCCATAATACCCGGACATCTCTGTCCTCATATTCAAAATCTTGTCATCCAGTTGAGGAGAAAACTGATTATTGAAATTACATTCAGTAACGATCGTTATATGACATTTTTTATTCGTTTTTATTATTATTATCTATTTCATCTTTCTTTTTCCTTAACTTTGGCTCATTAATTTTGTTGTAACTAATGTCCTCAGACTGAGTTTCATCCTCTCCTTGTTACTCATTGTCCCTTCATAATTGGCACCCTACTGATGGTTTTCTACCCATATTCATATCCGATGGAGGGTAAAATTAGACAAGATGAGACCTTGAAAGTTATCTTTTATCCAAACTACATCAAAAGAATACCCATTGTTCACATTCCAGGTACTGAAGGTCATTAAGCAGAGTTCAAGCTTCTAAACAATCCATCCGAGTATTATACGTCATTACACATCATTAGCGAAAACATGAAAATAACTAATAGTGCTGATGAAGTTCTTTTAGAAAAGTTTTGATCAGCGAACAATCTTCCCCATGGTTTGCTAGATGATGATGATAATAAGAGCCGGCTCATCAGCAATAATTATGTCCCAGCAATACCTCTATTATTCATCGACTTATTGTTCAAGTTCTTTTGGGGATACATAATCACTGTCCGTAACGAAAGATGCATGCTTTACAAGTTTTAATCATAATATTGCACAAACAGGTATATATTATTCATTGTTTTGATGATTACGAAATATCTTGGTCTTTTGAAATACGTCTTACAGTGGTTTAACAAGCATGTAAGATAACTCCCCGTAACAGCAACAATACTTTATTGCCGAAGTTTATATGTTAAGAATATTTTGGTTAAAGGAAAATAGGTTGTGCTAATGATCTAGCTTATTATAAGGACTTCGGTAGGATACAATAGATTGAAAATTAACTGATCATTACAAGTGCCCCTGAGTCCCCCCTATTATTATTATTATGTTTGATTGAAATTATAATGAATACTAACAATTTACTTGTGGATCTTTTGAATTAGGTGAGGTGAACCCCCCCCCCCCCATTTTCTCGCTTAAATACCCCCCTCATACGTAGTCAATTATTCTGGTATATTCCATAATTAGACTTATAGTAGGCTAGATTCATGAAACATGAACAGATGAAGAGTTTTCCCGTTGATTTGGCTTGTTTCTTTGACACAACATAATGAAGCTTATGCCTTTTGTTTTCTTCCCAAATGATTCTCGTCTTTTTTAATCATCCTTTGAAGTATACATATAATTTCTCTTGAAAAGGGATTGGATGAAAGCGGGAGGCACAGAGAAATAACGAGCACAAAAACCCCTCCCTTGTCCGATTTACCATCCGTAACATCATTGCACAATGGATGAAAGGAATAAACAATGATATCATCATCGAAATGAAATTATTGGTGAAAAGAATACACTAATTTGACCTTGTAATTTGCACGGTACCTGCTTTTGTTGTTATTAATGTGTTCCATCAAACTTTATTCAGAAGAATTTTTAATACTGATTAAGCTAATCTATAATGCACTATTATAGAGAGAAAAGGGACGATGAGTTTTGTTTTTTCCCCGTTGAAATAACTTTCAGCGACTTGTTCTTATGAAATTGTGTCTTTAGAAACAACATGACATTGTGTAGATTTAGCCTATATTAAGCTTATTTGTATTGGATACAGTCTTTTTAAGAGAGAAGAAAGGGCGATGAGTTTGATTTCCTTTTGACATCAATTTTTAATTGATCTTGTGAAGATTTAATACTAATTTGGTAGGCCTAATTAGAAACACGAAAATAACCTAAATTGATCACATAAAAATCAAGCTGCTTGCAATTAGGCTGACGGTGTCTAATTTCGATGAAGATTAAGAAGATGACGATATCCTGTATGACGTTGATAATGACGTAACAATCAATAAAAAGCCTCTTAATTTGTTATGAATATGAAAACAAATTATGATCATTTTATGATCACGAATGAAGGGATAGTACTGTAACTTTAATAGTTTACATTTTTGGGTATTTTTATCCCTTAGTTTCATTTAGGTTGTCATTATCTCGAGATAAACCCCACATCGTTTTACATCATTAAAAGATACAATGGAGTAATGTTTTCTCATAAAAACTATGACTTTCATATATTAGATCAGTTGGAATCACCGCTTTGATAAAAATTGATGTTAAAGAACAATTGCGCCGTAGGCTGTCGATTAGAGTGTCGGGACCGAGAAAATGCGTAACAAAATATCACCAGCGCTGATTCCGCATGCAAGATGTAATATGTGAAATTGGAAGGCTAACACAATTAAAATTACTGCTGCCTGCACAAACACTGCACTAGCTCATACATACATAACGTAATCGGCGTGTATTAATATTCTTCATTCGGTTTAATCATCTCGAATCAATAAGCTTAATTCCTTGCTCATGCACTAATCATACTCGTAATTAGATATGTTAAGCGGGTGCAATCATTTTTTTTCCCTTTCCATTCGGGATATGTCTATTATTATTTGGAGCGGTGGAGCGTGTGTGAAAAGCGTCGCGTTGTTCGACACGTCGCACGCCGGACGCGCTGGGGCGACTTCTTGCCAGTATGGCGTTAGGAGTTTGCGCGGCTTTAACACACCATCGTGTCAAAAGAACGACCCACTTCCTACCACTGTGCACAGGTACCTAGCATTTCATTACTGTTCTTTAACAAAAAAGTTTGAGTCAATATTGCTTGTGACTCTTTATCTGACATCATTTTTTTAATCATGAAGTGGTCTAATCATTTAGATTAGGTTTAAAGCTGCGTCAATAATTCATTCATTTTTTCTTTTCTTTTCTTTTCTATTTTTTTTAAACATCACAGTCATCATGCACAGACAAAAGAAACCTCACCACTATTAAGCCTTTATATTCCCTATTCACAAAAGCCAACATATTCATAATAGTCTATCCTAATTAATATGACCTGTGCTGTTACGGGTCAATAAATAATTCCTGTTGCGCAGCCGCAATGATGTTTCAAGGTGAAAATAGAATTGTAATATTAAAAGCTACAGGCCTATGGGTTACCAAGAAAGACAGTAAGACAATGAAAGTAGAAAAACAAAAACTTAAAAATCATAAAGTGTCTCACGATGCAATTTTCTTCTTTTCTTATATTACTGTGCATGCCTATAAAGACGCAGCGGGTAGTGTTTCATTGGCAGTTCTCACTTGAAATGAAGACGTATGTTTTTCTTAGAAAAGCTCGTTCACTCTATCAAAGAAATCATAGTTTAGAGGTTAATATTTATTCAGGTAGCATACAGTGTATTCCCCACTTCCCCGTGTCATATTCATTCCAATACAAACATTCAATTCATAACACCAGCCACAAAGCGCTCTTAAGAGAATAACACGCTCTCCGCTCGTTAAACGAAAAAAGGTCCCATCATAAATTAACCTTCTAAACACCAAGAAAAGAGATTCCTCCTTCTTTACTCAAGACTGGAGATCGTGAGTCGACTCTAAAAGATATTTTCTGATCCATGAGTATTACTACCAATTTGTGAATGCATTATTTACTGGCTAACGAGGCGAAGGGAGACGAGGAGCTAGTGAGTGCATACGGCGGTCGCAAAGCGCCAAAGGAAAAAAGAAAATAACTTTCTTCTGATCGTTCAGTCATTCCGTTGTGGATTCGGGTACCTATGGGTGTCGTTCGGAGAGTAAACACCATCAAAATGATGACAAATCGTGGTCGTTAGAGAAACGCTTTAAACTCTCCAAATTCAACCAGGATGAGGATAATGGGCGCGGTATTAAAGCCAATGAACTGCCGGTGAATTATAGAGAGCGTGACTCTTCGATATATCATATTGGAATGCTAAATAGGGTTATTAAAATCTCCTGAACTCTCAAAACGACCCACCCCGAATGAACATCTTAATTGCTTCGATAGATCAGGCTACGATATCGAAAAGATGCATGGATCTGTTTCCAAACGCAACCTGAAAGGCGAGTCTCTTTTACGCGTTTTACAGAGAGGATACCCATATTAATTCATAATTTCTTTTCTGTCGCTTTATATGGTTGCAAATGATCCCTATAAGATGCCAATTTGTTAATTCGAGATTAACACGGTTTACTGAGTGTTTAACACGATGACGGTAATTGCCGTGTAAGTGATGGCGGTGTAACGTTAGACAACCAAACTCTTAATCGCTGAGCAATTAAGCTATTATACTTGATTAACAGTGTTCATCCTGTCGTGATAATGAAGGGAATTACCTAGCTGCTGTCTAAGCCCGTTGCCTAATTAAGTACGATGTAAAGCTTATTATTGGACACCGATGCTGCGTATACTAACACAAGGTTGCGTCGATCGTAAAACTCCACTTTTCCCTTGCGTATTCAAACTGAATATAATTATATGGGTATATTATGCTGAACAAAAAAAAAAAAAAAAAAAAAAAGACCCAAAATCCAACAGAATTGTAATACAATTTGTTCCCGAGAAAACACCATGCTAACGATTTCCCCTTTACAATAAACGTCTCGCGCGAAAGGATGAATTATATCATAAAACGAATTTCAACCCCATCTTTAGATTTTAAGATTATGGCTAGTAACCTTTGAATTTAAAAGCGATGAAAATACACGCACTCTTTATATCGAGATAAGAAATTACTCGAACCCGCATGGCATTTATTTATATCTTAAATGCTCTTCAAACACTTAATCTGCTAATGAAATTCATGAAGTTTCGAGATAACAATCGAAACAAATTTAATAGTGTTCTGATTGTAGCCATTTAACTGTCCTAATGCGTGATTTTGTAGACGATGCTTTTCATCAGACATTGGTTTTTTTGTTGTTGTAATAGACAGATAAAAAGCCAAGATAATGTCGGCATGAACTATTAATGAATAATTGATGAGTATTTACGATTTATAAATGATTCAATAGTATTAAAAGTTCAATTTCTGCTGAGTGCTCTACGGAGATATTATGAAATTCAATTCAAACTTATTATCAAACACAATTGACATACTTCAATAATGTGTTTCATAATAGCTTTGATGACGACAAAAACTGACACACACCATATTTATTTTATTGTAATACGTAATACGTGTACCAATAAAATTTGAGTACTGATAATAAATATAATTCTAATTATTCATTATTCCCCACTTTTTCCTCTCTACCTCCCTCCCAACCTCTCTTTCTTTCTTTCTCTTTAACTCTCTATCTCGCCCAATCTCTGTCTATCTCTCTCTCTCTCTCTCCCTCTCTCATTGTGTTTCTTTCTCACTGCCTCTTTCTGTCTCTTTTTACGCCCTCAAATTTCTTCTCTTTAAAATCTCTCCCCTCTTTCTCTCTCTCTCTCTCTCTTTCTGTCTCTCTATCTCTGTCTGTATCCCCTCTTCTCTGTCCCCCCTCTCTCTCTCTCTCTCTCTCTCTTTCTTCCTTTCTCTCTCTCTCAGATGGGGACCCTGATGACTCAGAGACCGACGGTTCGGGGAGCAAGTCGAAGAAGCCTCGCAAGGCCCGAACAGCATTCACAGATCATCAACTCAACACACTGGAGAGAAGCTTCGAGAGACAGAAATACCTCTCAGTACAGGATCGTATGGAGCTAGCAGCTAGTCTTACTCTCACAGACACACAGGTCAAGACATGGTATCAGAATAGGAGGTGAGTTCAAGTTGCTTTCAAACGTTCCTAGCTCTGAAAAAATAAAGTCACCTGAATGTTGCGCATGCCGAAAAAGACGCGCTCATTCTATGCCGCGCCCATTAACTTAGTCTATGTTAACCGACTACACTTTGAGCCAAAGCAATTTACAAACAGTCGAACAGAACAATTAACGCTGCAAGATATAATTATACTTGAACATTATTCATCAAGCAGGGGAAACTAGTATCAGTAAAGCGCCGAAATGACAGGGCTGTATATTATAATGCAAGTTTTTGTTGCGCAAACACCTCTCTTTTCACACTATCACGTTCCTCTCTCTTTTTTGTACTGCTTCGTTTTGAAACAATGTATTCCCCTAAATACTCCTATCATATTCACTGATCTGCTGTTTAACCATGCATCTAGCTCCGAAATACGGTAGACGTTGCAAAGATCTTTATCTCTCCTATTCAATATTCATCGTATTCCTATCTGTTAGAGATGGGAGACAAACGATTCGATGAGTTTAGTTTGATATCGCTGGGTCCAACGACGCGACAGTGATGTGTTTACGCATCTAAAACGATTTACCTCAACTGTAATGCCACAATGCAAAATAACACAGTGTATGGCACAAAACTCAAGAAGAAAATAATTCAAGATGGAAAAGAACAAATCTTGGAAAGTTTCACCGCGTTTACAGAGAAGCGATCGATGAGAGATTTAGTGAAGATGGGTCAATGATAACTTCGGACGGAGCTGGCGCTCTTTAACTCTGGAGCGTAATGCATCAATCATGATAAAAAAAAAAAAAATTGTCAACCACTTTTAATTCTCGAATATTATTTTACGTTATGTTGTATAAAACACACAAATGTAATGCTTAGATTACTGTAGATATGCAATATGATTTTAAAGAAATAATAGAACGCGGACAAATTCATTAAAAAAACAAAAATCTCAAATCAAATTCAATCGTTTTCTGTGATACTGGCAGAGGGGAGATAAGGGAAAGGGAAGCCAAGAGGAGGAGAGGAGGAGATGAGGAAAGGGATAAGTGTATCTTTTATATCAATCGGAAACACTCTCAGGCAAATACTGCCATTTGTCAAATACTCTTAGTGAGTATGAATGAATAATCAGGCTTTTTCTAAAAGATTCCGTAGCGGAACTACTTCAATATTTATGCTTTATACGCTGGCGATTGACGATAGCTTTTTAGAAATCTTTCAGAGCCCGTCATCGTTTTCCCCGTATATCCGAGACGTGTATCCTCAATACAATCAATATGCCCCGAAGCTGTTCTTAAGTCTTCGACTGCCGATAGAGGCTTGGAGCGATTTATAATCATGAACCGCTTGACGGTATTGTGAGCGTAACTCTTAATCATCTAACTGCATGGAAGGAATTTTTTCTTACTAAAAGAGGGAGTTCCAGTTCTGTATTGATACGAATAAACCTTTTTTTTCTGGATGGCTATCTATACGACCTTTTAAAAATGTCTTGTTTTGATAATGTTCTCTTCTGTTTCTTACGTGAATATCTTCCGATCCTTATTCGAAGGAAGATGGTTTCGTTCCATCTTCTTTTTCGCCGACTTGTATTTTGAGATCATCCTCCCGCCCTCTCTTTCTCTCACTCTCTTTTTCTATCTCTTTATCTCCTTGTCCCCCCTTCCCTCTCATTCTCTCTATCTCTTTCTCTCCTTGTCTCTCCCTCTCTCTCTCTCATTCCCTCTTTATCTTTCTCTCTCTCTCTCTCTCTCTCTCTCTCTCTCTCCCTCTCTCTCTCTCTCTCTCTTCATTCACATCTTCTCTCTGTACTTATACCCCAGAGCGAGGCTTAAGCCCTGCTGTAACATCACCTCTAATACACGATTATCTTCATGCTGTAATTATAATGTTGAAGCATAAACGCGTTTATTGCCTGATATCTATCCTTTATGTTAAAGCATTGTCTAAGATTATTCAGTAACCTATCAAAAGTTCACCTTTTTCGCCTTTTTCACCATCTTTACATTTTCTTCCACACTCCCTTCTTCCATTACTCGTCTTCCAGACTTCGTCCCTATTCCTCTCATCCTCTTATCCCCCTCTCGCTCTCTCTCTCTCTCTCTCTTTTCCCCCCTCTCTCTCTCTCTCTCTCTCTCTCTTTTCCCCTCTCTCTCTCTCTCTCTCTCTCTCTCTCTCTCTCTCTCTCTCTATCTCTATCTCTCTCTTTTTCCCCACTCGCTCACTGTCTCTCTATCTCTGTCTCTGCTCTCAATCCCTCTCCTCCTCCGGGAACATGACCTTAAAGTTTCCGGATTAGTTCCTTCCTCCTTTCAATAGTAATAAATATCTAATGAAACGGTAAAAATGAGAAAAAGAGAGATTATTTTATTGTACAGCTAAAACAGGTATATATTACTTTTCCAACATCGTTGAATCGGAAGTCTGTATTAACTCCCATTCCAAGAAACGTCTTTATTGTTACTAGTTCGGTTTGCTCCTTCCAGCAATACTTGATACACTTAAAAAACAATTATTACAATTCTCTTTCGTTCTTGTTAATGCTATATTATGACAATTTTCTTTGAAAATGAATTGTCTTCTAAGTAGCAGGACCTGTTGATGCAATGACATAAGTTATCATTAATATTGAAACCATTCCTTACACAACACACACACACGCGCGCACATCACAATATAGAACTGAAACAGGATATACTTTCTAATATAAACTTGATAAGCAATTATACTTTTAACAGATACCACAATACACACATTTTGTGGATATTGCATTTGACACCTCGTAAAAATAATCGTGATGACCGCCTTTCAAAAGCATGCCAAAGTGGACGGTATTATCCTTATACATTATTAAAGAATTGTATTCATTCATTTTTTCCTGAAAAGACTGGAAGTTCCTATTTTTCGAACCGCAATTAATTTCCATCCTATTAAACAATGTCTAATACATGATATACTGAACGTTTTCTATCACAACTGGATATCCAATTAGTAAATCACTCAATGCATATAAAACTTCAACTTAAATGCAAGAAAGACAATTATCGTTAGTATTTAGGCAGCAGATCACAGCGTGTATGATTTCAATGGCTGCACGCTGTTTTCCCCCATTTGATGTGCATTGTTACGATCAGTAATGTCGGTTAACCAATTGTGTTTTTTTGTTTTTCTGCAATGCTGCACAATTTTGGGTCACAAATCGTTTCTTTCAAAAACAGGCAAGCGACAAAATTGAGGTTTATGCGATTAATGGAAACAGAGAGAGAGGGTAAAAGAAAGGGAGGGGGGTCTTTCCCAACCGATTGCAAAGGATTTTCAAGTGCAAAATAGGGCGCGACAATCGTCAAAAACAGGGTTTAAGCGGGGAACAAAAACGTGCTCTAAATCTTTGAAAAAGCCGTCGGGGGTACAATTACTTTACGCCTCGATAACAATAACGGGCAACACAAACAAAAACAATGTACCCCCATCAGCATTTCCTGCGCCTTTTCTTCATCCGAATTTTTCGGGTATAAAGCGGGAGTTAAGAAAAAAAAAGTATTTTTTGATTAAGAAAAAGTATGACAAGTCGATGTACTTTGGGGTCGGACTTTGGATCCTCTAGATGCTGGCATTATGATAAAGGTCTCATGACTGTGTGTTAATTTGCTCTCTCTTCCTACATCTATTCCGGATCCCGCTGTTGATTTTGTACATCATTATCTCTCAATATCTCTCGTGTTTTATTGATATCTACAATTTGTTATTGTAGTTATACTTTAATTCATTTACTGGGCTAGGCTTCGACATTCCCGAGAAATTGTACCCCATGAGCCACATTCCTTTCCCACTTTCTTTTTTTGCGACCATTCCCTTTTTTCTTCACTAAAATAACAAACATTTGGTGAGCGTTTTGCACCTGTGAAAGCGATCTATTCTACACAATAATTAGTTTACTTATGATTCCATTTTAGTAATTAAACTAATTTTATGAGTTCCTGGACCAACATCATTACCAGCGCCGACAAATAAATATAGCCTATAAACAGAAAAGCAAAACTTGATAAACAAAGAACAAATTAGCAAAAAAATAACTTTGAGGTTCACAAACCGGTTAAAAATTGTTTTGAACAAATAATATTTGAAAGCCACATAATTATGATCAATAATATGGACACCACTCAACCACTTTTAATTAAAAGGTGTTTCTGCCAAATGATAAAACAGTTTTGGAAAATGACATTTAACAATTTCTTTCATTTTCTCTGTCTTTGTAGGACGAAATGGAAGCGGCAGACAGCCGTTGGTCTGGAGCTGTTAGCCGAGGCCGGGAACTATTCGGCTTCGATGCAACGTCTCTTCGCACCGCCATTCTACTACCACCCAACACAGGGCATCGTGTCGAATCTTGACGGATTGTACGGGCTACAGGCGGGCCAGCGTCCCGTACTCCCCCGCCTCTTCTTGCACGGTCTGCAGCAACACGTCAGCCATCTGCCACTCACTCCGCGACCGCTTCATCCTCACTCTCATTGACCTCCGCGTCGTCATGCTGGCTCAACGAACCCGACGACGACGTCGGAGACGATGATGATGATGATGACGATGATGCCTGATTGATCTTCAGTGGCAGAGATTAAAGACTCTGACGGTTGGTTACACCGTTGTTCATGGAACATTTTGCTTATGACGACTCGTTGAAGAAACAAATACGGTTTATTACAGCTTCAACATATTTCATTTATATCTTCTTCATTTAGGGATCCAATTTAATTGATATTGTAGTTATTTACATCATGTTTACAACAAAAAGTTATCCATACCAGCCTCAACAGTGGACTGCTAATTCACGCCTTTGACGGCGAAAACATCTCACCATTTTTCGTCGTTTGCGTCATAAAAAATGTATCACCCTTTAAGATCTCGAACTCAGCATTCAACACGAGAGTGTTTATATGCGATACAAACTTTATCACTCATTCAAAGAGCATTTATAGCAAAATTGATTTCTCAATGAATTAAAAGGCGAGGAGAAGACATAAGTTTTTGTTTTAATATAAGAGCGAAATCATTCTGACTAAAGACAGACTTTTTGAATTATCATTAATGTAGAAAGTGGCAATGTTTAACGTTTTAGGTAAGAGATATAGTTATTAATTCAAATAATTTCGTGAATGTTTCTCGTCATAGCTCAGATTTCATTTCAAAATAATCAAATTGAAAGTCTGATCTAATTTAAGCTCATATATGTCATTTGAATCGTAAGAAAGTGAAAAGTTATCAAATGACAGATAGTAAATCTTTTTGAAACATTATTTTGTTCACCCGCAGTTTCACTTGATGACTATTTAGGGTTAGATTTGAGCATTACATTACACCTTGACGATATTATACGCATTTTTATGTTGTATCAGAATGTTTGAAAGCTTAACGTATCACATTTTCTCGATGTTTTTTTCTTGCTTGATAAGCCTATCCGTGTTAGATGGAACACCAATTTGTTAGTTCCAGTCGTAATCTTATTCAAAATTGATGAGTTTCTTAACCCTTTGCAACCAAGCTGAATTATTTGCGTGTTAGTACCAATGCAACGAGCTTTAATTAAAACATAAGAAAAAACGAAATGTTGGGCGGGGCGGGGGAGGAGGGGGGGGGGTGGGGGTGGTGGGGGTGGATAAGACCTAAAGCATGACTATTATCCTCAAAGTATTCTAAACAGTCATGATACGTAGCACAATGTGACATCTAAATTGAAACTTAATAGAGTCGTAAAAGGCTTTGAAGCCATAATACGTGTCACGATTATTTCTTGAAAGCATGATGAAATTGAAAAAAATTGTCAAGAACGACAATATCACAAAAAGGTTACGAATGGTGGAAGTGATGCTTAAAATGCTCTTAGATTTTTTTAAGATGGTTAAAAATAGTAAATTAATGCTATAGGAAGTTTTACAGCCTTCGAACAAAATAAAGTAAAATAATTATAAGGTGGCAAGGTACGTAATGACTGAGTTAGACTTGAAGCCTTCCTTCAAATTAAAACTCTCTTGAAGTTTTTTTTCATTGTCAATTTTGTCGTTTAATTTGTACTTTCAGACACTTTAATTGTAAGTATAATTCCTCTCGGCAGAGAAAGTCTCGCTATTCGAAATAACTAGCTTGCCCCCACACTCTCATCGATTGGTCTGTCATGCAGGCAAAAAGCTGTTAAAACCTTATGATCGCATTTGAAGGAGTTAATAGCATTAATAATGGCTCATATATAACTTAACATTGGCGCTGTCTAATAACATGTTTCATTGACATTTGTGATCCCAGTCGAGCAGAAAATGCCATGATTTCTTTCTTTCGCCGCAGCACAAGCTCTCTATAATACTTCTAATATGATTACGAGCGTGCTTTCAGAGAGGGATACAGAAACGCAGTATTGCATGGCACGTTTGAATTCAGTGCGCCTGTCATTTCTTAACAGCACATAATATAAGAAAAGTACAATTATGTCCCAATAATCCCCATCATCATCATTTACACCTAAAGTGATCTTTGGGATGACTTTCACAGTCTTACATTAAATCAGGCATGATAAAGCGATGACGGTGTATAGGCTAAGTGAGTTGGACTTCAGCAAAAGAGCATTTAAAAGACCATCCCCACTGCTAGCATTTTTTTGTGTTCTTCGAACAACGCTGACAAGATAAAGTGTGTAGACCTGTGTCTATATCATAATAAAATGGGACCCTTTCCACGGTTCATGTTTGTTAAATTGTTGGTAATGTCTTTTGTACGCCTGCGCTAAAATAAATAAGCGTGAGGCCATCTTGAATGCAGGTTATATGCATGATATTCCAGAATGAGTAAAAACATCGGTGACATGCTAGTATTTTATTAATCATGTGAAAATGCAAGAACTAAATTCATTAGATAAGTTAATGATAGTCTATTATACAAATAATACACATCAGTGAGGGCATTGGTGTTTTTCTTTTCCATAGTCTATGCTGATGTCCATGTTTCTGCTCCATACAATAGAACAGACCAGGCATAGCAATTTACAAATCTCATTCTAAGTTCAATTTCACTTTTCTTGCTGTAAATAGGTCTTAATTTCATTGCCAGATTCCGTGCAATTTCAATCCTTGTTTTGATGTCTGCCTCGTTTCTCGCCACAATTAGGGAATTTAATCGTTTAGTCTATCCTTATAAAATTAATAAATAAAATATAGTGAACAAAAACCTGTTTTCCTGTTAATTGCAATCAGCATTATAGGCTTTATAGCCATGGCAACCATCGAACCCCAGTTGAATTTATCATTGTGTGCAATAGTCACAGCAACATTTATCTACGCACAATCTCATACGCATACATTTAATATATAAGTATTAAACTGATTTAGAATCAGCGAAATACTTTAGAGTGTCATGTACCTATGTTTTTTAATCTGCTCCGTGGAGATAATCGGATAAAATTATCTTTAACAGAACGAACGAGGATATTGAAGAAATCATGAAATATAATCTGTGGTTATATTCTTGACGTTTTAACTAAACTTGTCATGTTTACCCCTGTTAGTAAAAACTGTTTGTTGTTTAGGGAATTTATATTCATATTTTTCCTAAAACGAAATCAACATTCCAACTCGTTTTGAACGGAAAGTCAAACTTTTTATAATGAATTCGATAAAAATGGTTATATTATCTCACGATCTTTGTGTGTGTCACCATTCAAAAGCTGTTTAAAATGTGTCTATTTTCCTATCGCTAACGATAAATGTTTTTAAAATTGCGTTTTTAAATTAGTGAATGGATAGTATAACAGTATATAGTGATATTTTGTGAAATGATATTATTGAGTTTTCTGTCTTGTTTCTCCATTCATAGAATGGTCATGTGATATATTTATTGTGATGAGCAAAGGGAAAGTGTATTGAATGTGTATATACTTTGCATTGTAAAGATGACATAGTGATCTAGCTCGGTAAAAAGACTTTGAGAGCAGCCGGTTTTTTTTGTATAAAATTTGTGATGGTTATATTCTTGGTTGAGTGTATAGAAAGATTCACTGTTTCCCCCATTCTACCTGCTGTACAGTACTATGGATCTAAATTAAAATTAACTTAAATGAAAAAATGATTATGACATGGACTATATTTTGATTATTGAGCTGCTTGTAATACTTAAACTTGTCAACGTGCGCAAGAGTGTCATTGTGACATCAGAGACGAGGATGATGATAAAGATGACGATGGTGATGATGATGATGATGATGATAAAGATGATAGTGAAGATGATGATGATGATGATGAAGATAATGCCAATGTTGTTGACGATGATAATGATGATGATGGCGATGATGATGAATATAGTGGTGATGATGATGATGATGATGATGAAGATGATAGTGAAGATAAAATAAAATAAAATAAAACGGAATAAATAAATAAATAAATAAGATGATGATAATGATGACGATGACGATAAAGATGATAGTGAAGATGATGATGGTGATGATGATAATGACAATGTTGATGACGATGATGATGAATATAGCGGTGATGATGATGATGATGAAGACGATGCTGATGATGATGATAATGACGATCATGATGATGATGATGATGATGATTATGATTTTTTTGATAATGAAGGTGTTAACGATGATTTTGATAGTGAAGAAAAATAAGAACAAGAAATGGTTGACGATGACGATGACGATGATGCTGATGCTGATTATGATTATCTTAAAGAGAAGGTTGAGTTCTGGGAAGAGGTGAAAAATAATTTGTTGATATACTCATTCTTATTATGCAAGCGTGGAAGAACATCAGTTAAGACATGTTCCCTGAAAAGCATGGCTCTTCAAATGCCTTCATATTCTAAATATGCATGTAACATCGTAAAAATCGGGGGCCGGCTTTTTACGCCACGTGTTCGTGTAGTCCCATATATATCTTTCTGTGCAAGTGTTTTTAACTTTACCAAGACTTTGCCAAATTTCTTATCATTTTGATGATTCCAGAACCTTGCAATACACACAAATTCTTATATGCTAGATGATCAACCTTTTCTGGTCGGTTCCACACCGTTTCTTTCACAATGCAATCGCATGACCAGAACTCAACTTCATCTTTAATGAGGAAGAAAAGAGAAGAAAAAGAAAAAGAAGATGGAGGAGGAGGAGGAGAAGAAGAAGAAGAAGAAGAAGAAGAAGAAGAAGAAGAAGAAGAAGAAGAAGAAGAAGGAGGAGGAGGGAAAGAAAAAGAACGAGAAGAAGAGCTGGTGGTGGTGCAAGGGGAGGATGAGGAGGAGGAGGAGGGGGGGGGGGGGGGGGCGGGTGTATACCGACTAGTAAATGCAATGCCAACTATTCATTTACACTTTCACAAAAAGATTTGAGAAAAGTGCCATCTACGGTAAAGTGAAGCGGCCTCTTGAGCAACGGACGGCGACTTGGCGAAAATTACATAGAGTATAAATAGGACAGGATAAATAATAGCAGGAAAACTCGTCGAAGGGAAGACAGTTAGAAGAAGTGGAAAGACGGAGAAGAAATGAAGAAAACAAAGAAAACCTTTTTTTTTATAAACAGAAAAGAAGGAGGAGGGGATGAGGACAGGGGAAGAGATGAAAGGAGACAATCAGCTGATGAATAAAACTGGATAACAAGACAACACTTTATGGAGAAATTACTCCCCAAGAGGGATAGGGATTGATATAATGGAGAAAAGGGAATAAGAAATAGTGATATGAAAAAGCCCAATCAGTTTCACAGACATATCTTCCTGGAGAATGCCTCATTAACAAACAAAAAATGAAATAGACAAATAAATTATAATAATGTTAAGAACGTAAAGTACACGAGCAGGATTACTACCCTAAACTAAAACTTATATAAGAGCAATTTTCAGCATGATGAAATAAAATATGTGATATCTATGTCCCCTTTTAACGTTTAAGAACTAGCCGTGTTACACATTAAAGATTACAAACAAAAAATCTCCTTTGCTAAAAACAAGTCAATTGCATAACCCCATACGCTTGAACGTTATCATCACATTTCGAACTCTCTGTTGTATCTTATGTAATCTCCACAATCAACAACACAAAATCCATGCATATTAAAAACTGGATGTCCCCGTTTCTTTCATTACGCTGTATATCACTAACATCTCTCAAATCGACAAGTAATGGAAAGATATTTCAATTTCCCCTTCAAGGAGAGGATAAAGATCAGCAATTTCTCTCGCAAAATTAGAGATGGTTTGATTGTAAAGAGGATAGTATCTTTATCATAAAGACGATAAAATCTTCGTATACCGTCTAGGCATAATTATTAGAATCACGTCTTTCCATGACCAATTTGCAAGTAGAGATATATCTTTGGAATAATTGCCATTTTGTTGCAGATACGAAAAGAATTATCTGTGTATGGATCGCGGGTGTGATAAGTCCTTCATATTAAAACAAAGTGGATGGTTAGATGAATTAGCATACAGTTTCGTATGTCTATAATTCTAGATCAAGAGGAGATAAACCATGATTTGCGTTCGTACCATTTCCCCTTTAGACAGTATTTTTATTCTTTCACTTCTCACGTAAGTTGGTTGTTTTTTCTTTCTTTGTCTCCCTTTGTGTGGCAGGATCTCTTTTTTTATTTCTTACTTAGTAGCGATTCAAGAATAACAACTCAGAGATGGATGGGGCGCGGGGAGGGGCTTGGGGATACTTGCATTCATTTTCTACATAATGCCTCGCGAAAGGGGGGGGGGGGGGAGGGGCTTGAAGGTTGTTTTTTAGTCCCCACTTTTTTTTAAATCGATCTCTCATCTTCCGTTTTCCCTAATAAATCTTCTTTCTCATCTACCCAATTCTCATTTAGTCTCTCTCTCCTTCTGTGTCTCTCATAATACCCTGTAATCTCTTTCTGTCAGTAAGCGCTCTCCGTTTCTTGCCGTCTTTCATGTTCTCATTCATGATTTCCACCCAGATATCCTCATTTACTTCTTTTTCTCTAAGTTACGACACCTTTGACTACTAAATATATGATTTGTTAGTTAGTACATAAAGCGTGTTGCAATACATACATAGGTGTTTGTGTTGTCTGATAACTTACATGTGTATGTCATGATGAAGCATATTTGTAACATTTCTTGGTGCATCTCTGTCACCATGGCATTTTATTTTAATATTGTGATCAGAATGATTGAGTTTGATGATCTATTTGTTCTCTTTCTCATTCATTTTATATTCTTTCATTTACTCATTCATTCATACATAAATTCATTCTTTCTTTCATTCATTCATTTATCCACTCGTTCATTTAATCATTCTTTCCCTCACTCATCAATTCATTCACTCTGACTCATTTAATTTCATTCATTTTATAGTCAGTAAATAGCCTTAAATCAATGACACTAACCAGAAAAAGACATGTAGGATCTCTTTTTTAATGCAAAATTTACTCATTTCAAGTGAACTTGAATAACAAAAAGAGGAATTATACAATATGTTTATATTTATAGTAACATAGGTACCACATTCCACGTTCACTGACTCCTGAAAGAGTTGACAAAATCAAATGTTAAAACATGAGATTTTAAAGCTTGCATGTATTTTGTATCTTCAATTAATCCAACAATTATGACATGAGCTGAATTACCAAGACACTCTTTGATACACGTGTTATGTCACATGTCTGATTAAAAAGCATGTATCGTTTACTCTGAGATAATCACCCAGTTATCGACAACAATGAATTATCTCTTGATCAACCAATATGCGTTGATAGTTTTAACGATTTAAAGATTTTATTCAAAACGTGTGCACTCCATGATTCCATTACAGCTCACGTGGAATGACGCACTTGTTTTCAGTTATACATCATGGGCTATTAAATGAAAAATAAAGATAATTATTCAGTTATTACAGATAGTGAATTATCTCTTGATCACTAGAATCGTTGATGACGTCTTTGCGGGATTGTAAATGTTAAAAAAGAAGTAAGCATCGTCAATCTGTTGAGCTACCACCTTTTCTCCAACTTGAAAAACACATTAGAATGAACAAAATTTAAAAGCACATATCATCGCCTGGCTGGCAGAAAGGCGTTAGCTCAAATTTCAGGTAAAAAATGAAGCGTTAAGCAAAAGGGCGTTAGCACTAAATCACCTCAAACTTTTATAAAACTGACTTATTTCCCCCCAAAAATTGTGGCCGTGTTCTACTATAACATTTCTATTAGTCTTTTAAGTTTTAAACAAATTTTAGTGACGAAAAGCAGTTTAAATATAAAACAAATGTTTAAATGCGAATAATTCGAAAAGTAGTTTGTAAATAAAAAGTAGTCGGTCGCCCGCTAAAGCCCTTCTGCCAGCCGGCTGACAATGTATTCAATAAAGTTTCTCATTGTATGTATTAGTGTAAAGATGTGTTTTCATCATTGCATAGTTTATTATCAATGTACAAAATTTTCATAATTCCCTCAAGTCTTGGACAGAGACTCAAGACCGACTTGGGTTCCGTGCGTGGGGTTTTATGTTTCTCTTTATCTTTCTTCATACCCCTTGTCCGCAAGCCCATAGAATGCCATGTCAAATTTTTGAAGGTTGAATTTCATACATTCTAGCATAAGTTCTTTTTAGGTTCATTTTGAAATGTCAAGCATTGATAGTGAGATAGTGTGTTTCTTTCTCTTACATGATGATCGATCCATCACTTAAATGTTTGAATGTCTAATAATAATCTTCCTTCTGAGCTTTAGAAAGCTAGCGTCATTCTTTACTGACATCATGATTTCGTGGTACCTTTTTCCTTCAAATACTGTATATCGTAATAATAATAACATAATATTGGATATTCATATAGCGCACATATCCACCATGCATGGTGCTCAACGCGCTCACCCCGACTCTGCTCACAGCATTCAAGGAATTCCTTCCTAACAGCTGGGTGGAGAGTGGCAAATTTAGATAAATATCTCGCCACAGGACATTATGCTGTGATGGGACTCGAACCACGGACCCTGTGATCCACAGTCCAATGAATTATCCACTAGATCACAACACCTCTACTATACCATAGATACTGTAAATACTTTAAACATACTTACAGTACACACAACTTTATTGGAAATAGTTGCCTTTTTCTTATCTCTTTGTCAACTGATAAATCTTTGACTTTCTTGAGTAATTCTCAATCCACATCACTTCTTGGTGAACAAGCTTTTCTCCTGTTACTTAAGTACCTCCTCTTCTTCTTAGCATACAGGGGAGCGTTTCACAAAACCGTTGTAAGTACAAGTTCGACGACAACTCATTGAAATGTGTGTATTATATTTACCATGCGATTCAATGGGATGTCGATGAACCTGTACTTATGATGGTTTCGTGAAATGGCCCCCAGGAGATCAAAACGTCTGGAGTCAGAAGGGCGTTACCTCTGTGTTAAATCACCTGGGGGGTGTTTCACAAAGAATAAGATTGACTTTAAGTTGGACTGAACTAAAGATCATAATTGAGAGATCAATAGTGAGAGCATCCAGTGGCATGAACAGCCTGCCATAGTTAACTCCAACTTAAAGTCGATCTTGGTCTTTGTGAAACACTCCCCTGTTAATTCAGTCCAAACAGACAAAACACTGCTTAGATATGAGTGTAAGTTTAATATAAAGTACAAGAAGGCTTTAAGTATTTTTGCAACCAGTTGTCTACCAAGTCTCTTTCTCATCTTCCTTATCACGTCGAATCAGTATCATTTCTGTGGGTGGGGTCGTTTCTCCTGTAGCATGAGTTTTCTCCTCTTCTTCTTAGCATCGGCTTTCTGCTTCTTGGAAGGCATCAGTGTTGATTCATCCAGGCCACTGTCAAACTCCGATACACTGCTCACCTTCATACTGTTCCTGGGTTGGAAAAGAGATAAACAAAAAAGGAAAATGCGTAACAATTAATATAATAATATGGTTATTGATATAGCGCCGGTATCCGTCAGGTTCTGACGCTCATGGCGCTTTACACATATTACCCTGGTCATAGCCGAGCTGCCAAAGTAACTAGTGCTCAAGCGTATTTACACCTGGGTGGAAAGTGGCAAACAAAAACTTTAAACACCCTACAACCAGCATCACACACTATTTTGACTATGACCAAAATTTTGAAGAATCAACACTTACTAATATATGACCAACTTTTGAAAGACAGTTTAAGCTACTTTTGCAACAACCTGTTTAAAAAGACCACCTGTCTACAAACACCACCATTTTTTTGTTTTCCTTGAAAAACTATTTGTCAATGATACCTGTACAGATGCAACCTGTACATAATGACCACCTGCTGATAAAGACCAAACTCGTTATCGTCTTTTGATACCGGTCTTAATGTGGAAAGGAGCATACTCTCTCCGGTAACTTTGTCTCAGATTCTGAAACAAAATCCTGGATTTAGCTCATGCTGCAATGATAATTATAAACCTTTAGGTCAGTCAGGAACTCCACGACTTTAACTAGCTGATCACCTGTCTGATTATCAATACATTTATGATTGGAAATCAAAACCAAATTTTGCGTTTGCCAAAAGGTTTTCATAGCACGACAGTCTATTGGGAAAAATGAGTATGGTAAAACCGGTCACTCAAAGATATTTTACTTTTTTGAGGCACTTCTTGATATTTTCTGTTTCAATTTTTTTAGGGCTTCAATATCATACCATATTACAGACACTGATAACATGTAGGGCCATGCATCTCAGATTTAACATTGTTAAACGATGCCTTTGATACCCCATCCCAGTCTTATCTCTCTCTGACTGGTATTGTTTTTGGTATGGGTTCTAACAGAGGCAATGACATGTTTCTTTTCTTCAAGGAGAAAAGTAAAGTTTGATACAACGATCTCAACCTCTCTGCACCAATTAATGACTGAAGAATGTGACTAGGTAAGCATGTAGGTCAGGTTAGTCTAGAGCACTAACCAGTCAAACTATTGACATTTTGTACAGACATAGGACATATCAGCTTGTTTGTGGTCTTCACTACCAAGTGAGGTTGGTTTCATGGCAATTTTGTGATTGGTTTGTGTTAACAATATATGTTTTTTCCAAGCAAAGAGATATATGTCCAATATTTCTGCAAATATTATCCACACACTCTGCAACCAATACAGCTCAATCAGATCGAACAAATTCCTTAATTAATTATTTTGGTCTATAACTGTTGCAATCTCACTTTCTGAAGATCAAATATACATCAATCTCTTTTCATCTCGATATAACTCTGACTTTTCATCTAGGATAGTTGGTATATCTCTGAAAGTTTCATCTCATTTTTTTTGTTATTCTCTCTACAGATCTTTTTTCTTTCTCTCTCTCTCTCTGTCTCTCTCTTACAAGGTTTATATATACTCCTTCTGATTCAATCAGAACCCCAAAACATATATCTTTCATCTCCATCTTAATCCAAATTCCCACCATATATTGGTTATTTTCAAGAGTCCAAAATAGAGGCTCCATCTCTTTACTGTCCGAACACTTCATCTTCTATCTGTAAAAATACTCTTTCTCCCACGGCTCTGTCTGTCTGTCCGTCTCTCCCTTTCTCTCTCATTCTCTTTCTCTCTCATCCTCTTTCTCTCTCTTTCTCTGACCAGGCTATTCCCCTGAGTGACTTCCCGCCCTCTGGCTGCTGTTAACCTGAACCAGTGGTTCCTGTTGAGCGTGGTATTGGTGTCAATTGTTGCCTTAGTCCAAGTCCCTCGCTCACAAAGTGCAACAAAGACAGCTCCCATTGTCGCTACCTTGTAAACCTAAACGCCACTCCACAAAGCCCAAGTAATCCTATGCATAAATGTAATGCGCACTTTTGTGAGAACTGAAAGGCATAAGAGGAAATGCCCGCCAGCTACAGGTCCTCTCTTGTTATGGTTCAATTTCCATTTTTTCGTGTTTTTTTTTAAGAGGGGGAGAAAAAAAAACACAGAAATCAGGTGTGGAGGCAGGATAGCAAAAAGAAATGGAAAGAAGGAAAAAGAGAAAAAAACTTGGGGCAAAAGATAGAAACCCCCGAAAAGAGGACGAGATATTTGCGAGGAGTTTATACCCGAAGAAGTTGAATTCTTTCCACGCTGTGTCTTAGTATATTACTTACGGCCTCCGGGCAAAAGACGGAGGACGAGATACAACTTCTATTGTGCGTTGCGTCAACGTTATTGTGTAATCCGAAACATGGTTTACTGCATTCCCTTTGAACTAAGCATCCACGCTACACAGAGACAAGACAAAGGATACGGGATATATCATGACTTTATGTAAAAACTAATCTACTTCTCCATGGCGCATCAAGTTTAGATTGAACAAAAGCAATCCTATACTCTTAGTGACGGAGAATAGAAAAGTCGATTTCAAGGAATGCATATGAGATATGACGGAGAGTACAGCAATGATAGTGTTACATACATCACATTTCAAATCAGATATTTCCTATGAAGAAGTGGTCCAATTTTAACAAGTTTTTGTTTGTTTGACAGAAAAAAGAAAGAAGAAAGAGAGAAAAGACTTGAAGTTTGCTTCAACTCAAAAGGTTGCTCTACTTTTCTCTCTGTCTCTCTCCGTCTCTCTCTCTCTCTCTCTCGTTTAAATATCCTGTTTACCTTTATCAAAACCTGTTTTTCCCCAAGTTTTCTGAATAAGAAAGTAAAGGATGAAATGTGAACAGCAAAAAGTTTCAGAGAATCTATCATGTACTGGTAATTTTCATTTCCCCCCTGGAAAAATAAAACAACTCAATTTCTTGTTTCTAGCCTTGTTTACATTAGGCATATATTCAGAGGTGACACACAAACAAACAAAATTGCAGTATTTGAAGTCTAATAGCACAAAAAATTCAAAGGTTTATAATGAGGATATAAAGAGATCATGTATTTTACTTGTATTTAAACTAGAAATAGTAAATAAAAAAAGTGAATTAATTCAATATCCATTTTCCACTTTACAATGCACATATGGTACATCTAAACAGCCTTATATTCATGTTTTTCTTTTGCTTTCTCTGTAACGTCTTATTTCAATTGATGACCTAGAAATTAAGGGGAGGGGGAAGATGGGGAGGGGGGAGATGGGGAGGGAGATAGTAAGAGAGGAAGAGAAAGATAGTGAGAGAAACACAGAGAGTGAAACAGAGAGTAAAAGAGAGAGAGAGAGAGAGAGAGAGAGAGAGATGTATAATGAGAGACAAGACAGACAGACAGAGAGAGAGAGACACACACACACACACACACACACAGTGAGAGAGAGAGAGGAGAAAGACAAAATATACATTTGAGCAGAGCTTCAGATGTATAGTATAGACAGGATTTATGTAGCAATGACATATCCAACTTAATAAAAGCCCCTAGAGGTCAAGAGAGATGCCAAGAGGGGTGTGAAGGGGGGAACGGTGTGAAGGGGGAACGGTCGGGCTGAATGCTTGTCAAAGACCCCCATTCAAACACTGACAGGTACAAAACAAGACATCAACATCAAAATTTACGCTGAGAGATCGAGCAACCAACGCTTGCGACCACTTTAAGAGGGCGAATTTACCGGTCTGTGGATCTTTTAAAAGGGGGGAACTTGACAGGTCTTTTAATTGGTGGCCCATATACTCCATAGGAGAGGACCTGGATTACGAGAGGAGGTGGAAAGGAAAGGAACAGACGTATTATTAGAAAAAAGTGACATGTGTGGGGAGCACGGCACACAGCTGTTCCAGCCAGCCCCATGTTGTTCTTAGGACTTTCTTGCGTCTGGTCGGACTTCTCACACTGGCAAATTGGAGACACCTCCAAGTTCAATCGAAGAGATGGAGAGAGACTTGGCTTTGGCTTTGGCTTTGGCTTTGGGTAGTGGTGGAAAAAACGGGCGTGCTTTGTCGCGTTGGAGCTCTGATACACGGTCTTAAGCTTGCCCGGGGTTGTCCATTGGTACGTGGGTTACGCTAACAAAAGAAGGGGGGCTTGGACGCAGCGCAAAAACCACCGTGGTGAGGGGGTACAATGGGAGAGGGGGAAATATCAGCGGCTAATCTCAAGCAATCTGTTATCATTGAGACTGACGTTGATGGCAACGGGGGAATGGGGAGGCAGAGAGTGAGAGAGAGAAAGAGTGAGGAAGAGAGAGAGAGGGAGGGAGGGAGGGAGGGAGGGAGGGAGGGAGGGAGAGGGAGAGAAATAAGTGGGAGAAGAGAGAAAGTGGTGGAGAGATGGGAAAGGAGAGAGAGGGAGAAAGATAACGGATAAGATAGAGAGAAAAAACGGGGAAAATAGAGAGAGAGATAGTCGTAGAAAGATAGACAAGAGGAGATAGAGAGAGAGAGCAGTAAACATGGAGAGAAAAATGAGAGAGATAGAGCAAGACAGCAGATATTGAGGAGATAGATAAATAGAGAGCAAGAAACAGAAACAGAGGGAGGAGAGACAAATAATAGAAAAAAACAGTGTAAAAGAGAGAGAAGGAGAGGGAGAGAGAAAGAGATAGAGAGATAGAGAGAGCGGGATAGAGAGAGAGAGAGAGAGAGAGAGAGAGAGAGATGGAGAGGGGAGGGCTTGGAGAGAGAAAAAAATGGAGAGAAAATAATATAATAGAGAGACAAAACGAGAAGACAGACAATATAAAGAACCATAAAACTCTCAAAGACAAATATTAGTAATCATGATGATAGTGGAGTTGAAATTCCCAATAAAGAGATGGAAATATGAAATTATACTTAAAATGGATATGACAAATATTATGATTTGTCAGGTATTTATTACAGCTTCAAATTTAATTAGAGAAATATGATACTAAAGAAAGTAGAATACAAGAGAGAAAGGGAGAGAGACAGACAGGGAGAGGAAGAGAGGCAGAGAGGGAGAGAGAGAGAGAGACAGATAGA